CCCCAGCCCTGCGGTGGCGAGGTAGTTGGCGATGCTTCTTGGGTAGCGGGGTCCCGCAGAGATGCTCGGTCTCGCATAGAGGTCTCGGCGCTGGGCGTGGAGCACACTGTCTGGATGCAGACAGTACACTGGAGACGTCCTGTGTCTGTGCGGGAGCCCAGCACCCCCGAGGCCCTGATTTCTAATACAGGTAGATATGCCTAACTAAAGTGAGCTGCTATGCTACCCTGTGAGCTCTGGCTTAGCGGTGGTGAGATTCCCCCTCGCCCCATACTTCTGTCTTATCCTTTTCCTGGTGCTAAGAAACCACAGACAGAGGCTGCAGATCCCCATGCCTCACTTTCCCCTCAACTGTTCTCTTTATCCGCTCCCATTACACCCGAATGAGATGAGATCTGCGGGCAGAGAGTAGCCTGTGTGCTTTGAGCTCTGCTCTCCAGCCACCTGCCCCCAGAAACAGGAACAGTGGTGCCCGTTGGAGGAGGCCTGCCCTGGGATCACAGGATCTCTGTGCCCCTCACTCTGCAGCCGCCAGGAACTCCACCCTGCCCTCTCTGGGAACTTGAAGACCCCTTCCCCTTGGGGTCTGAGTGGGAAGATGGCTAGCAGGCTTTCGCCGTGCTCTGCTCTCTGCCCAGGGTCCCTCTTGGGTCTCCCAGTGCCTGGCACTTGCTCTGCACATCCAGCAATTACCGTGAGGTCCCCTCCTACCCTGCAGCTTTCAGGCCTCCCCTCTGTCGTAGCCTGAGCTGCAGCAGGCCTGCTGCTCTAGTCTGCAGGGGCTGGTTCCCCGCGGGGAGCTGTTCCCCTCAGACCACCGGCTGGCTGCTTCACCAGTTTCCGTTTGGTGTGTTCCTGAGTGCAGTGAGCAACTGTGAGGATAAACCGGGACCTGCGCTGGCTAGAGCGAGGCCTGGCGCAAGCGTCTCACCCTGCAGGCCCCACGCAGTGAAGTGGGGGAGGAGCCTGGAGCCCCCAGCCTGGGAACTGCTGTCCTGTGGAAATGGAAGTGAAATGTGCTGTGCCCTCCCCCTGAAATGAATGTGCCATGAGCTATGGCTGGTATTTAGGTGGGATCTGGGCTCCTGGGCTCCAGGGCTCCAGAACAGTGCTTCAGTGCCCCTTCGTCGCTTGGTCACAAACCTGGGGTCTCACAGAGCCCTCACCGGCTAATCCCCACCGCTCCCCGTACTGGCTAATACCTAGGCACTCCTGCACCCCTCTCCTCCCCCACCAGCTAACACCCGGTGCAGAGGTCCTTTGGTTTGCAGCACCTTTCCGAAGTCCCCCGCCAGGACTGGGCCCTGTTGGCGATGTACACGCAGGAGGCAAGACCTGGGCCTTGCCCCAGAGCACTCATGGTCTAGCTGGGAAGAGGCCCGGGTGAGTCTAACAGACCAGCTGGGAGGGGCAGGGCTACGACCCTCGGAGAAAGGCCTACGTTCTCTGCTAGAGCCCAGCCTGCCGGGGAGGCTGCATCCCAGCTGGAGCCCGGAGTGGTGCTTCTGTCCACCCCGAAGAGGCCTCCTGTGCCCAGCTTCCCTGTATCCCTGGGCGGGACCTGACTCTGTCCTGTCCCATCGCACACTCCCCACCTTGTTAGTCCCGCTCCCCTGCAGCCAGCCTGGCTGCTCGCAGATCTAGGGAGAACAGACCAGCCAGGAGTTGGGGGACAGAAGGGGATCAGACTGTCCCTCCCCTGAACGTGATCCGAGGAGCCGGGGAGTGCTGAGCCCGTTGGTGGTAACTCCAGCAGCGCAAACCCCAGTGGCTGCGCTGCACAGGGCTGCTTACCCAGGAACCGTAGCAAGCAGCATGGCTGCAAGCCCCCCTCCACCTCGTTGCCTGGGTCCGTGTGGGGGCTGCAGCGCTGTGACTACGGCAGTACACCAGCCCATCCCGAAGGTGGGGGGCAGGTGCAGTGGGGGCCTCTGGTTTTCGCTCCTTACAGCTCCCCCATCGCCGCCAGGACATGCCCTTCATTAGCCCCCCGGGGCCAGTATGGTGGGTGGGTGTGAGGGGCAAGCAGGTTAAACACAACAGCTGCCATCTCGCCCCGTGTTCCCAGCCACCTGTGCCCCCACAGTGTGGCCCTTTGCTGCTCCAGCCTGCCGTCCGGTCGCTCTCGCCTCCAGCCCCACAGCCGGTAGTACTGCCCAGGAGTTTCCATCCCCCGTCTCCAGCTCTGGGCTCCAAAGCCTGAAACGCCACTGCACACGCCAGAGCCTCACCCGGGCCGCTTATCCCGCTGGCTCCAGATAAACTCAGACAGGCTGCGCCCCTCAGGCCAGTGTCCTCTCTGCACACGCCAGAGCCTCACCCGGGCCGCTTATCCCGCTGGCTCCAGATAAACTCGGACAGGCTGCGCCCCTCAGGCCAGTGTCCTCTCTGCACACGCCAGAGCCTCACCCGGGCCGCTTATCCCGCTGGCTTCAGATAAACTCGGACAGGCTGCGCCCCTCAGGCCAGCAGGGAGCCTCGGCGTGTCCTCTCTGCCAGGCCCTCTGGCGCAGGGGCTCTTTGCTGCCTTGCATCCACGCTCTGCCTTCTGTAGCAAGGTCCCTCCGAAGTGCTGGCTTCAGAACGGTAACTGCCTGCGCCGCAGGGCTGGGAGGAGGATCTGGCCACGGCAAGGACGTTGCTGGTTATAAGCGCATCGCTTCCTTACTCGAGAGAAACACCGGGCTGGGAGAGGGGTTATTGAAGCAAAGTGCCCATGTGAGCACAGGAACACACGGCTAGAGACTAGCCATCAGCACGTTCAGACTTGCAATTAGATGGAGGTTTCTCACCACCAGAGGAGTGAAGTTCTGGAGCAGCCGCCCAAGGGGAGCAGTGGGGGCAAAACCCCGAACTGGCTTCCAGCCTGAGCATGATCAGTTTATGGAGGGGGTGGTGTGATGGGGCTGCCTACGATGGCATGGAGCTGATCTGCGACCGCTAGCAGCAAATCTCCCCAACGGCCGGTGATGGGGCACTGGGGGGGAAGGGCTCTGAGTTGCTGCAGAGAATTCTTTCCCAGGTGTCCGGCTAGTGGGTCTCACCCACGTGCCCAGGGTCTAACTGATCCCTGGATTTAGGGCGGGGAAGGAATTTTCCCCGGGTCAGCTTGGCAGGGACCCTGGGGGGGGGTCTCGCCTCCCTCTGCAGCCTGGGGCCCAAGTCACTCACTGGTTTGAACTATTGTGAATGGTGGAGTCTCTGTCACGTGAAGTCTTTAAATCCTGATTTGAGGATGTCCGTGACTCGGTCAGGGGTCTATCACGGGGGGGAGGGCGGGGGGGAGGTTCTGTGGCCTGCCATATGCAGGAGGTCAGGCTAGATGATCATGATGGTCCCTTCTGACCTTAAAGTCTATGAGATCTCTCCACTCTGCCCCACCAATTCTACTGTCTGACCAGGTTCCGGGGTTTGGTCTAATGTTAAAAGCCACTTCAAATATCCTGTCGACGTTTCTAACAATAATGCTTTACAGAGTCTTGAGCCAAGCGTGCGACTTTGATTTATACAGTCCCCTTAGCGTACTTTGCTCTCTGCAGAGCTCTGGTGTGAGCGGCCCAGCCCCACGTAGCCTGCAGTCGGGCATAGATCATCTGCCTGGTGCTGAGTCAAGCTGCCAATCCTAGTGGCAGCCGTTCCCTGCCACAGGTCAGTGTTCCTACATGCTCCGCTCCACGCTGTAACAGAGGCCCCAGGAGGGAGTGGGGTGTCAGCTGGTGAGAGGTTAGGACAGGAAGTGAAGGAGAATACTGTATCCAGCTGAAAATGCAGGGGGAAGGTTTGGGAGGCAGAAGGTAACCATAGGAGATCTTTGCCAGGACGGTTCTGAGGAGCATCTTGTTCTCGAAGGGACCTGGGGGGAGACCCCCACCACCGGGAGCAGAGCCTCTTAGAAGCATGCGTGGTCTTGGCTGTTGCTGAGTCTCACCCTGAGCTCTCCTGTCCAAGAACTGACCAGGCCAGCCCTGCTTAGTGAATAGGTTAGCGCTCTGTGCCGGGGGTGAGCTTGCAAGTTGAGCTTTTGGGTTCCTTGTTGATTTTTCTTATAGGTACTTTACTGCAAACAGTAACTGCACCAAGAGGCTACCGGGTGTACCCGGACAGCAGTCCCGTCCAGAGGGGCGCTCCCTTCGGACCCAGGCTGCCAGGTGTGTGACAAAGCGGGACTGTTCTTAATGTTTCCTCTGAATAGTGTGGGGGTGCCTCAGTTTCCCCTGTGCAGTTCTTAAGTATCTAGGTGGTGGGATAAGGGTGTATGATCGTTGCAGAGCCCTAGAGGGCAGGTGTGTGCAGGAGTCTGGACACAGAGAATGGCCA